AAAATTTTTCATGTAAGCTATTACTTACATAAATCAAAATATGAATATACTTTATAGTAAGTAAATATTAAATTCTTCTTGTAAGTGGTTGAGACAATTATTAATATTTTATAAAATCTCTTAAAAATATTTAGTCCTTTTATTAGAATTAATTCATTAAGAAAATTTCTATTATTAAACTCTAAATAAAGTGGTAATATATATTATATAAATGATTTACTATTACTATACTATATATATATATATATATATATTTCTTAATATAATTCATTTGACTTAGTGAAGTTCATATTGGGTTGTAAGTAATTGATCCCTACCTACACACTTCATATATGTTATTATGTGTGTAAACTCTAATTTTATTAAGTGTATGTGCTATTTTAAGTAATAAAATAATTTTAGAGTATCATTCTATTGAGGATAAGAATTATCCTAAATTCACTCTAGTACCGCTTGTATAAATTATTAAATTTATGTTATCTACAAAAATTTAATGTGTGCTAATGAAAACTATCAACCAGTTCTCTAAAATTAAAAATCTAATTTTTAAGAGACTCCTAATCAATGATAGTTAAAAACTCATGAGTGCAAAAGTTAGATATCTCTTAAGGTTGTTGTGAATTAGATCATAAAAACTCTTCATATCTATCAAGATCATTAAACTATCCATCTAAGATTTCTCTTACCTAAAATGATTATATCTTCTTAAGATGCCTAGACACTATCCACCATATGTCTATGCATGGTAGAATTTCATTTTAAATCCTCTAATTATTCCACTATTCCTCTATCAAGGCTATATATCATACTATATTTTTAAGTTTATGCAAGGCTTATACATAAACTAAATTAAGAATGATGGATTTAAAAATAATATTTTATAATTCATGAAATTAAGATCTAATCTTAAGCAAACATGATTTTTAACATATCATAAGCCTAGAGAAAAATTTAGCTATCCATGGAAATCAAACTAAATAAAACAAAATTCATTTTAAAAAAATTACAAAGGATAAGTTAAGGATAAAGATCACAAGGAAGTTCTATTAGGTATTGGTCCAAAGTTATGTTAGTTTTTCAATTGTACTTTCTTTAGATAGATTCTTGTGTAGCTTTATTTTTTCATTGGTGTCTTTTTTTTTTCATTGGTGTCAATAAATAGTTGTAATAGACTATAATAGGTAACAAAAAAATCCAAACAAATCAATCTCACTCACTCTCAATCTCCCTCCCCCTTACTCTCTCAACCCACCATACCTCGTCTCTCCCTCTTACTCCACAAAAAAACTATCTCCCTCTCTTCCTCACTCACTCACTATCTTCATGTTACTCTAACTCTCCCTCATACACACACACTCTCTCTCTCTCTCTCTCTCCCCCTCTCTCTCATCTCCTTCCTTCCCTTTCTTACTCCAAACTCCCACTTCGTTCCTCTCTCTTATTCTCCTCCCATCTCCTCACTTCCTCTCTCTCCCTTACACGCACTCCCACTCCCTCCCCTCTCTCTCCCTCTCTTCTCTCTTACTCTACCTTTCTTTTGTTATCTTTTAGCTCTCTATCCTCTTATTATTTATATCCCATTTCTCTCTATATATATTTTTCCCTCTCCCTTTCTATCACACTCTCTATCACCATCTCCCTCTCACTTTGACTCTCTATCATCCTCTTTCTTGTTAAAAACATATGAATCTTTATTTCTCACTCTTCCTCCATGTTACTTTCTCTTCTTCTCTCTTATCTATCTCTCTTTATCACTCTACCATTATATAAATAATGTTTATCAGTGCCTAGCACTAAGGCACCCATCCACCATAGTGCCACGATGTCCATCCACCCAGTAATGCAGCACTGCATATCACACCCAGAGTTACTATAGAATAAAGGGTATCAACACAACCACTTCAAATTCTGGTAGCGTTACTCCCTCCAAAGCAGCTACCCCCACAAGCATAGTGCCATAATGTCAACCCAAAATTTTTATATATTTCAAATAAATTCATTAATTAAACTTTTGAGTTGTTACACTTACATTTTTTTAGGACATCAAGTTAAATAGCTCTAAGATCTAGCACATTTATATATCAAATTAAGTACAAAAAAAAATTAATAAATTTTTTTGACATAAAGAGATTCCAATTAAGTATAACCCCTATAAGCCAAACTATTAAACTTGATTTAGATGAATTAGTCAAAGCAGTAAATAAAAGGTTTTATAGGAGTATGAAAGGTTCACTTTTGTATCTCATTCCTAGTAGACCAAAATTTGTAATTGCTATATCTTTATGGGCTGTATTTCAAACCAATCCCAAGGAAACACTCTTAATAGTAGTTAAGCAAATATTTTACAGCTTGATAGGAACACCTTGGTTAGGCGTTGGTATCACCAAAAATCACTATCTTATGACTTTATTGTATACTTTGATGCAATTTATGCATGCTAGTTCAGAAGTTGATTGAAAGAGCACCTTTGTCACGTGTCAATTTTTGGGATCATCTTTTATATTTAACAATTCTAAGAAATAAAATTTTGTATATTCATTCATCATTGAAGTTAAGTACATAACTGCAGGTAGGTGTGCCGCTCAAATTCTATGACTAAACCAACATTTAAAAGATTATGAAATTAAGATAAAATACATATAATATAAAAATATTGCACATTGTCTTCATGTGAGGACAAATCCTAATTTCAAAATTTACAGCATACTCCCTCTGCCTCTTCTATTCTTTTTAGGCCAAATTTTGAGATGAGAAACTATATTTGCCATTTTAAGGGATACAAATCTTTTCAAGATGTTGACTCCTTGATTTGAAAGTTTTATTTTAAATTGAAATTGAATCTCACCGTTGAAAAGACTTAGTAATTTAATTTTGATATCAATGCGTAGGCCCTTAATGTAAGTTTTATTAAAAAAGAAATAAAAACTTCCAACAGGTTCAAAAAATGATATCAAAATCAAATGAATCCTATATCTTCATCGATCATCAATGATGATCTTCTTTTTCTTTCATTGACAATAATAAAATATTTCTTTTTCTTTAAAAGCATTTAAGTTTTCTAAAAAATCCTTTATTTGGTGTTTTAATTCTAATTCATATATTACTTCATGAGTGCAAAAGTTAGATATCTCTTAAGGTTGTTGTGAATTAGATCATAAAAACTCTTCATATCTATCGAGATCATTAGACTATCCATCTAAGATTTCTCTTACCTAAAATGATTATATCTTCTTAAGATGCCCAGACTCTATCCACCATATGTCTATGCATGGTAGAATTTCATTTTAAATCCTCTAATTATTCCACTATTCCTCTATCAAGGCTATATATCATACTATATTTTTAAGTTTATGCAAGGCTTATACATAAACTAAATTAAGAATGATGGATTTAAAAATAATATTTTATAATTCATGAAATTAAGATCTAATCTTAAGCAAACATGATTTTTAACATATCATAAGCCTAGAGAAAATTTTAGCTAGCCATGGGAAACTAAATAAAACAAAATTCATTTTAAAAAAATTACAAGGGATAAGTTAAGGATAAAAATCACAAGGAAGTTCTATTAGGTATTGGTCCAAAGTTATGTTAGTTTTTCAATTGTACTTTCTTTAGATTCTTGTGTAGCTTTATTTTTTCATTGGTGTTTTTTTTTTTTTCATTGTCTATAAATAGTTGTAATAGACTATAATAGGTAACAAAAAATCCCAAACAAATCAATCTCACTCACTCTCAATCTCCCTCCCCCTTACTCTCTCAACCCACCATACCTCGTCTCTCCCTCTTACTCCACAAAAAAACTATCTCCCTCTCTTCCTCACTCACTCACTATCTTCATGTTACTCTAACTCTCCCTCATACTCTCTCTCTCTCTCTCTCTCTCTCTCTCTCTCTCATCTCCTTCCTTCCCCTTCTTACTCCAAACTCCCACTTCGTTCCTCTCTCTTATTCTTCTTCAAAAGCATTTAAGTTTTCTAAAAAATCTTTTATTTGGTGTTTCAATTCTAATTCACATATTACTTCATGAAGAGTTAGGATTAATTTTATGCTATGAAAGTGACAATTTAAAAATAAGTGCGATGAACAAAAAAATAATTGAAAAAGGTCAAGTGATAAAAAAAGAGCATTAAAATGTATATTATTCGGTTTAATTAAGCCTACATCTTGATGGATTCACTCAATATACTTGATTAGTCTATAGGTGGTCCAGACATCATGGCTCATTACACAGGTGATATTTCATTTCACAATGAAGTAACTCAATCTCTTGACATTAAAGGCACAAATGAGACGCATTGAATTTGAGTTATTCATTAATCAAACTTGAGGTTAACTTTGAGCCTAATTCAATAAATTTGAGTTAGCTCAATAACTGAGCTTTTTATTATAAATCAGAGAGAATAATTCTAATTCAGTCAATTGATGATAACTTGTTTTCCTAACTAAGAAAATCCAAAAGGGGTTGGGTTGTCTTTTCAGTGCTTAGAACCAAATTATTATCTTCAACTGATGACACACTACCTCTAGTTGGCATCCAAGAAGATCTTTTAATAGATATTCTCAAATTACACAATTGAAAATAAATATCAAATCATTAAGACTCAAAAGGTAAAGACAGCTCATCTCGACTGGAGCCCTATCCATCAAGATCAAGAGACAAGAATCAGTTGAAGGTCCCCACCCCCCACTAAAGGTTGGACTCATCTGGGGTCCCGGGCATAAAGAACGCACCTCCTGACAACAGAAAAGCTCCTACAACTACAATACTGGCATTACTGCTATGAGCATTCCAATATTTTTTTTTATCAACAATCAAAAGGCCACAACCACCCAACCTCACCCAAACAGGTCGACCTAACCATAGACCAATAAAGTCTGGTCCTATATAAATCTTGACCATGAGCCACATGTGATCATACTCATCTATTACTAATACCGTCATCTAAAGGTCCAACATACTGTTGCAATATTGTCTAGATGCAGACATATGAAACACATGCAATTAAACACAGGAATTAGCTCATCATTCACAAATCAAAGCCTGTAGGTTATAATATCTTCATACATTGGTTGGTCTAAAGAATACACAAATGAAAAGACAGACAATCTTGAGAAAAATTAGTAATATATAATCCACAATGTTTCCTCGGCAGTCTTCTGAATCACCACAATGAAGATGATGGAAGCTATATTACGGAATTTAAGGAGCACAAAAAGATACTAAACTGAGAACAAATTATCACTCAACTGAATCTCTGCATGCATAAGCACCGCGGTGAGGACACTCCAGAAAACGCCTCCAGGAAAATAATCTTCTTTAGAAATATTGAAGGTTTCCTACCAAAGGAATTGTTGACAGTAGTTTCCTTGAAGTTTGAGCTGGTGGTGCGAGCCCAGGGATATCTCTAATATTCTTATTGTGTGGATTTACGATCTACACATGTAAAATGTATATGAGATTAGAACAATGATACATGCATGCGTGCATGCTTTATGGCAAACCTACAGAAAGAAGATTTCTAAAACGACCGTTAAGTGGCAGAAATTGAAAACATAGAACTTTGGAATTTAAAACAAGCTTTTTAGGACTCAGTTGAGGCCCAAGAAGGGTGTACAGAAGCTTTAAGTTCCAGTCAACAGCAAGAAATAAGGTAGGGTTACGAGAGGTGCTAGTGCATCTCAATTCTATTTAGAGCTCATTTGATTGCTTGAAGTTAAAAAACATATTTAAAAAATTGATGAAATTTGCTAAATTCAAACTCAACAAGCCATCTCAAAATTCCTTCAGAAATGATGATTTCATTTTTCGCTCACAATGAGTGAAAACAAAATCAATATTTTCCATTTGCAAGCAACCAAATGAGCCCTCACACAACGTATTTGACTCTAATCCACTGCTCGAGTTGCTAAAACATAGAATAGTATACATGCATTAAAATGAAAAATTTTAACTTAAGAGTCTACGACTTTAAGTAAAATATGAAATAAAGACAGTACCTTCACAATAATGATTGCAATTACACCACAAACAACTAAGAACAAGAAAAACATGATGCATTTATCAGTTGCAACCTGCAAGAAAAAAATTAAAAGTCAGGACATCAAAGAAAAACCAGGAGAGAACATGATTAAAAATAAAAAATGAATATTGGAGTTCAGAGGCCATGGAACGACCTGCCTGCCAATCTCTTTCACAAGTTGAGTTGCCTTCTTTATAGTAAACTGGACTGTGTCAAGATCATTCACAATGCGGCCCATTTGCTCAGTCTACATCATAAAGAAGCATGGCCAAGAAATGACAAGGGGACCAAGAGAGCTCCTCAATTATATACACCACCAGATCCATCCGTTACCTCAGAAAAATAGATGCTTTTTAAAGCCTACTTACTTGGCCCTTCAAATTTGCTGCTGTCTGTGTTCCCACTTCGATTGTTTGTTCCACAACCTACCAACAAAATCTTTCAATTTAGAAAAGCATGGTAAAGCGAACTATTAGCAAAAAAGATCTTTGGAGCACATAAAGTACCACTTTTGACCGCTCAATCGCCTGATCAGTTTCTTCCATCCTCTTCGTGCCAGCAGTTATTAGCTCTTGATTTGACATAGCTGCATACGAAGCAGTCTCCACAATTTATTTGAGCAAAAATATTAAATAAGCAATTGAAACCAGATCAGGTTAAAAACTTCTGACTATGGATACAAATTCTCAACGTCAGATCTGTAGTTTTCCATCTAAAATATTTGACAAAAGTTACAAGAGTTTTAAACAAACATAGCGAAAAAAAAAATCAGTATTAAATATGGGAAAATAAAACTTTTTAAAATGACATGACACTGGATAGCCCTCAGCAGATGAGCTGAGCTTATATGTAAAACATTTGCCTAGCTTTAGTCCATAAGATGCCACTTGGACAACCAGGCTGATTTAACACAAGCTGTATGTACTAGAGCTAAAAATTAAACCTTAAATATCAGATAGGTCAGCGCAAGTAATGCTTGCGTAATGCAAGAAGCTGCTCCCGTATTTGGTTCTCCATACAAAGAAGCTCCTCTAAAACTGTGGAGCTAAAGACATATTTGAGATGTTAGGCTACTTTTTTGAGAGGATATAATGGACAATGTGTAAGCACTAAGATTTAGCCAAATGTTTTGATCAAGTGATTTACCCAAGTACGAGCGGTATATAACCAAATGTTTAGTAAAAAAAGAATCCATCTTACTATATGAGCAGTTACCCCACACGTTATGGTTTAATTCTAAAAGGTTGAATTGGCATCTACCGTGTGATGGACCCAGCTTAGATCTATGGTAATAAACTCACCAAGATGATCTATCACATAGTTGGCCCGGCGCGGCACACCTACAGCGCCATGTTCATGGCGAGGCGCATGTGTTTAAAATAGCGCGTGCTATTTGCGCCACATGTGAGCCATGGCGCATTGCGCACAACGAAAATAATGCGCCAAATTGTTTTTAAATTTCAGTATACTATGAATATTTTTTATATTTAAAAATATATCTATATTTTAAGATAAACGACTATTCGTTGCCCTAATTTCACGAAAGATTTTCTGTTTGCTGCTTCAGCCGAACACATCCCGCAGTCCCTAAGTCGAAATCGTTGAATCTGTCCCGAAGTGGAAGGCTTTCTGTTTTCTATTTGCTGCATTCGCTGCTTCTGCCGAATTTGTCCCGAAGTTAAAGTCGTTGTTTCCGCCGAATCGTCCCGCAGAGCAGTGCTTCCGCCAAATCCGCCCTCGCCTTCGTCTGTTCCAATAAAAAATCTAACAAGTTGACTCCGATTTGCAACCTCTGTCTATTCCGCACAGCTCTGTTGTTTTGCACGACTATTTCTTACAAGAATTTACAACTTAACAGGTATACTCGGTACCGCTAGGTACATGCTTGATACCGCTAAGTAAATGTTCAATACTGCTATGTATATGCTGGATACCGCTCGTACCGCTATGTACATGCCCGGTACCGCTAGGTACATGCTCGGTACCGCTAGGTACACGCTCGGTACCAACCATTAAAAAAGCGGACGAGGCATCCGCATTGAGTCGTGCCTCAAGTCGAGGAGGAAGTCATGCGTATCGGGGCTTAAGCCTCTAACCATCCAACGAAGCCAACAATTTTTTCGCACGAGGCGTACACATCAGAGCGTAACGCCTCGAGACAGTACGAGGCACCGCCTTGAAATTTTTTCTTTGGTATATATGTAAATACGACGCAGCCGATTCGTGTTCGCGTATTCGCGTATAGGATTAGGGCTTCCTGTGAGAATTGAAAGGAAAACTGGAGGCGAAGCCGTGAGGGAAAGAGGCGAAGCCGTGAGGGAAGGAGACGAAGCCGGAAGGAGACGACGCAGGAAACGAAGCCGAAAGCAATAACGGTTTCGAAAGCAGGAAACGAAGCCGAAGTTGTAAGTGCAGGAAACGTTCAGGCCTCGGTTAGGTCGGAAGAGCAGATGAGCGGTGTTGTGGGCCTTGACTTTGACGTGCAGTAACGAAAGCTTGAATAACTTCTGATTCGGCTTTCTTTCATTCGTCCGCTCAGTACATGCTCAGTACCAAGCATATACATGCTCGGTACCGCTCCGTTCATGCTCGATACCGAGCTAGTACTGCTCGGTACCGAGCGGTACATGCTCGGTACCGCTCAGTATTGAGCATATACAACAAGCAGAATTTTAAAATTACTCTTATAATAAAATTTTGTTCCTGGGGAGGTGCCCCCAGAAACCCCCGCAGGGGCGCTGCCCCTTGACCCGTAGGTCGAACCCCACCAAGAGGCAGCGCCCCTTGGACCCCCGGCATACCGGTATATTGTTATATTCATGTTGTCTTATTATTGGTAGTACAAATAATTATTAAAATCTGTCCTATTTGATGTTGATTATTTATTTCTATAAATTATTAACATGACTAGTGGCACAAGAAGGAAAGATCCTGCGTGAAAATATGAAACTCAAGTTGAAGTGTTAGGCGAAGGTGCGAAGAAGGGATATGTTTATATGAAATGTAATTTCTGTGAGAAACGTATAATTGGTGGCGTCAAGAAGTTGAAGGATCATCTAGCCTGCACTCATGTCAATATGGGACCATGTGCAAAAGTATCTGATGAGGTGAAAAAAGAATGTACAGATTATTTAAAGAAATTTGCCACCACAAAGAAAGTCACACAAAGAAATATGGAAGAGATGATAGGAAACTCTTCTTACTATGAATCACAGCATGAAGGTTCCAGTAGTGGAAGCCATCTAGTTTCTTCTAACCGAGGCACTCGGGATCCTATGGATAGATTTATGATAAATATTGATGATGAGGATAACATAAATACTCAGGATCTTTAGCCTCCTACAGCTACAAAAGAACTCAGGAACAGATTTTGTTTGGATATCGCCTGATTTATCTATGAAAATGAGATTCTATTTAATGTTGTTAGGAGTCCGTCATGGATCAATATGTTACGATCCGTTGGAAGCTATGGAAGATGACTACAACTTCCAAGCATGTATGAGCTGAGGACTTGGATGTTGAATGAGGAGGTTAAAACAACTTCAAAAATGGTGGATGATATTAAGAAGACTTGGATTGAGACATGAGTGACAATAATGTCAGATGGTTGGTCAGATATTCGACACAGAAATATCATTAATTTATTGGTCAACAATCCATATGGAACATTTTTTCTCAAATCAGTAGATGCTTCAAGCTTTGTAAAGGATGCACAATTATTATTTGAAATATTGGATGAAGTTGTGGAGGAAGTGGGAGATGCCTTAATAGTACAGGTTGTTATTGATAATGCAACTGCATACAAAGCTGCAGGAAGAATGTTAATGGAGAAGAGGCCTCACCTTTATTGGACTCCTTGTGTTGCACATTGTATTGACTTAATGCTTGAGAGGTTGGGACAGTTGCCTCAACATAAATCAGCCATATTTAAGGCCAAATACATTAGTAAGTTTATATACAATCATTCTTGGGTACTCAGCTTGATGAGAAAATTCACTGACAAGAAAATTATTAGACCTGGTGTTACAAGATTTGCTATTGCATATTTAACATTGCAAAGATTCAAGGAGTTAAGACAACCTTTGGAAGCAATGTTTGCTTTTGAAGAGTGGAATAAAAGTTTATGGGCCAAAAAACAAGAAGGAAAACAAGTTAAAAAGATTGTTATGAAAGACGATTCATTTTGGCGCAGTAAAAATTATGCTTTGAAGAGAACATGACCATTAGTAAAGGTGCTTAGAATGGTTGATGGTGAGAGGGCCCCGGCTATGAGATTTATTTATGAAGCAATGAATAGGGCTAAAGAAGACATTGCAAAAGAATTGGGAGGTCAAGAAAGTGCCTACAAAGAAATATGGGATATTATAGATAAAAAGTGGGATCGACAATTACACCAACACTTACATGCTGCTGCGTACTATTTAAACCCCCAATTTCATTATGATAAGAATTTTCATGTTGACGAAGAGGTGAAAAATGATTTGTATGCATATATGGACAAACTCATTTCTGAAGAAGACTATCTCAAAGTGAATGATCAATTTGAGAATTTTCATATGAAGAAGGGAATATTTGGATATAGAGCAGCACAAGTATGCTACAAAACACGATCTCCTGGTATGTTTATAGTTTGTGTATTTATAATTGCATGCGAGCATAATTGGAGTATCCTTAATCAAATTCATACAAAGAGAAGAAATTGATTGGCGGCAGATCGAATGAACAAACTAATTTATGTTATGTTTAACCAAAAACTGAAAGATAGACATCTCAAATTGTAGAATCAAGGAAATATTGAGAATGAAATTGACCATTTGCTCGTTGATGAGTTACAATCTGATGATGAATGGGTTACTCCTAAAAATGTTGATGTTTCTGAAGTTGAAGCAGAAGGAGAAACTCATATCAATGAAGAAGACAATGAAGCAACTATTCAAGTATATAAAAAAAAGAAACAAAGTAAGATTGGAGCTTCAAAAAAATTTAAAGATATTCTTAAATATAATGAATTATTTTATATGTTAATATTATTTCATTTTAGAGCTAATGAAATATTAACTGATATAAGAGATAATAAAAAAAATATTATAAATGAAGAAGAGTTTGAGGATGATTTTGATATTAATTATGAAGATTCTTTTGAAGACAATCAAAGTGATGATGAGTCTATTTGGATCTTGATCCTACGGGGATGTTTTATTTTTAAGTGAGTTTATTTTAAATCTTGTATTCCAGTAATATTATCTTAAAATCAATCTTCAAATTCATAGTTGACATAATATTTTGTTATTTTTTATCATTATTTATAATTTTAAATTAATTTATTTTAATCGTTTTGAGGCTTATGCCTCGATCCACCTCGAGGCTTATGCCTCGCCTCGATTCTCGATTTCGTCTTTTAAAATCTTGCTCAATACCGCTCCGTACCGCTATGTAAATGCTCGGTACCCCTCGGTACCTGCTCCGTACCGCTCGGTACATGCTTGGTACCGCTCGGTACAACTAGGTACACACTCGATACCGCTCGGTATCTTTCCATACAAATGAAATTCAAAATTACTCTTACAAATAAATTTTGTTCCGGGGCACTGCCCCCGGAAACCCCCGTAAGGGCGCTGCCCCCGAAAACCCCCGCAAGGGCGCTGCCCCTTAACCCTGCCAGGGGGCAGCGCCCCATTGGACCCCCGACAGCCCGCATATTATGTTTCTTGAACAATATTATATTTTTTAATATAAATTTGTTTGCTTTTAGGTGATCATAAAATGTCAGATTAAGTTCAATCTTTAAAAAAAGATCCAGCATGAAAATATGTTATACTAACAAATGAATCTGACAACAACAGTGTGACATGCATTTTTTGTGGTAAAATAACAAAAGGAGGAATTACACGCCACAAACAACACCTCGTTGGGGGTTTTAGGAATGCAATGCCTTACTCTAACTGTCCCGACCACGTGAAATCTGAAATTAAGGCATCTATATTGAAAAAAAAAAAATTAAATGAATAGTTTAATGACATATCAAATGTCAACCTTGCTGAAGGAGGAGAAGACTTTGATGTGATGACAGATAATATTTTAGTTGCTAAACCATCCAAAATATTACGGACAAATAAATCTAACACATCTAGTCAAGGATCGACATCTACATCTATATTGAAAACATTATGACTTAAAGGTCCATTAGATACTTTTCTTACACCAAATCCTGAGGATGTAGTAAAGCATAGAAAATGTCAGTTTAACAAAGAAATGAATGCAGCTAAAAAAGAAATGAGGGGAAGGGCTATTTAAGTATTCAGTAGATGGATGTATGATGTTGGGATTCCATTTAATGCTGTGAACTATGATAGTTTCCTTGCTATGGTGAAAGCACTTGGGCAGTTTGGACCCGGTATGAAAACTCCTAGTTATCATAAAGTACGAGTTACTTGTTTGAAGAAAGAGGTTGAACATACACATGAGCTATTGGGACGCCATCAAGAAGATTGTGTACAATATGGTTGTTCTCTAATGACAGATGGATGGACGTTGAGGAATGGGAAAAGCTTAATCAATTTTCTGATTAATTATCCAAGAGGTAGCGCATTCATAGAATAAATTGATGCTAGTTCTTTTTCCAAAAATACTGTGAAAATGTTTGAACTTTTTGCAAGTACATCGAGGTTATTGGACCACATAATGTGATCCAAGTGGTCACTGATAATGCATCCGAAAATATTCTTACAGGTTTGTCACAACTTTATTCTAAAGTTGTGTTATTCATGAAGAATTTGTATATATCTTAACTTAAATTATAATGACATAATAGAAAAATTATTGATGGACAAATATCCTTACATTTATTGGACTCCTCGTGCTGCTCACTGTTTGGATTTAATAATGGAGGACATTTTCAAAATTCAAAGGCTAAGGCGATGCTTTGAGAAAGCAGTGGTAGTACACAATTTTATATATTCTATGCCTCACTTACTTGAGTTAATGAGAAGGTGCACAAATCAAAGAGCACTTCTCAAACCCGCAAAGACTCGTTTTGCAACATCTTTCTTAACTTTACAACGTTTTCATCAACAACAACTGAATTTTAAGAAAATGTTTACTTGTGAGGAATTTATCTTGGGTCCTTATGCGAAAGAGGCTAAAGCAAAACAATCTCAACATACAATCTTACAACAATCATTTTGAAACACTACATTGTATGCCTTAAAAATAGCTGGTCCTTTATTAAAGGTTCTTAGATTAATTGATGGAGAGAAGAAGCCCCCAATGGCTTACATATATGAAGCAATTGATAGAGCAAAAGAGGCAATTGCTGCAAGCTTCAATAACAGTGATAAGTATTATCAAATTTTTAAAATGATTGATAGAAGATGAGAAGTGCAAATACACCGGCCACTATATGCAGCAGGATATTTTTTAAATCCTGAATATTTCTTCAATAACCCTGATATTGCCAAGGATAAGGAAATAGCTGATGGTCTTTACCAATATATTGGAAGATTATCTCAAGATGTATCTGAAGAAGATAAAATCAGTAATGAATTAAGTTTATACACTATGGTTGAAGGACTATTTGATATTCCTCCAGCTGTAAGACAAAGAACTAACCGATCTCCAGGTATCATTATTTACAAAAAAACTAAGACTAATTTGCTATATAATATTGAAAAAAAAATTCATTTCTTACAGCTGATTAGTGGTTGACATATAGACAAGGAGCTCCCAATTTACAAAGCTTTGCTATCAAAGTCCTAAGTCTAACATGTAGTTCATCTGGATGCGAACACAATTGAAGTATTTTTGAACATGTAAGTATTTTACAATATATGTGTTGATTTTTTATATATGTTCATAATATAGTAATGTAATAATATTTTAATTGCAGTTTCATAGCAAACGAAGAAGCAAATTGGATCATGGTCACTTACAGGATTTAGTTTATGTGAAATATAATAGAGCACTGATTCGGAGAATCAATCATCGTGATGTCATTGATCCAATTTCTTCGACTGAGATAGATGATGCAAATGAATGGCTAAAAGGAAAATTAGATGATGAGTCTGTGAAGAAAATGACTTTATTGCTGGAGATGAAGATTTAACTTGGACAAGTGTTGCTAAGGCTACTGGTGTTTATGATAAAAGCAATAATATTCGGAAAAGATCTAAAGGAAAAGAGAAGGAATCTTCAATTAGACATGACGTTGCTATTGAGAATGAGTATGAGGAGGGTGATGAAGAGGATTATAAAATAGGAGACAATGTTGATGAAGATAATGAAGCTTTTTTAACATTTGCTGATGATGATGATTCCCAATAAGAGTAGATTAAATTTTTATTTGATTTTTTTAAAAAAGATTATAATATTTGAATTATGAGATATTTGGATGTTACTTAGTCGAACTTATATATGTTATGGTTGTCTTTCTTTTTTAATAATATTTCATATTCATGCTTATTATTTTATAATTTTTATATAGTTTGCGTCATGTTCAAAATGGCGCGCGCCGCACCGTGCGCTATGCGCCATGGCTCCAAAGGGACCTTTGCGCCATGGTGCGCTATTCGCCATTAACAGGTATGATCTATCAATTGTTAGTCATATTCTTTCAATTTTTCTCCTATAAGTTCACCTCCTTAATCTTTACTTTTAGTAGCCATGGATACCACATGTGATGCCTTGACAGACTAGCCCTAGTTCCAAAGCCCTTTATTTGGTTGTATGTGATTTCTGTTTGCAGTGTAGAGACCTCACCAAGAAAATTTGTTTTGAGGTTGCCCCAATCTCCTCCACAATCCTAATTATTTGTGGATGGGTAAGATGCATGACCACACCTTTTATAACCATTCTACTAAATTACATTCATGCACGTGCTGCTCTTTATAACTTTAGCTATCACCGTGTTATATGCTTCACTAATGCTACACAAGGAACTAAATACACCAAGCCAAATGGGCTATTCTACACAGAACAGAAAGATATATTAATGCACTTAAAAAATCTCAAAGAAAACCTTTCATATCAAGTTCAAAACTTTCTAGGAGATCCAAACATTGGCTAGTGTTCAAAACAACAAAGCAAACCTATAAAAAACTTCATCCAGCCTAATGGGCGCAAAAGAATATATATATATATATATATATAATTATATATATATATGTTCATAGACAACTGAAGGACAGGGAATGCATCCCTTGGGCTCATATCCATATATTGAAGTCATCAATTAGATAAGAGCCCAATCAATGCGGTGGAGGAAAAGAAGAATACGCAGTGGGAAGGATAAGAAAGGAGAGATGGAAGAAGCCAAAGCAAGCAAGCATACATATTAAAGCCAACCTACATAAATCAGGAGAAATTAGAGAACAAAAGTCACGAAAAAAGGCTGGAGCATCTCAACCCCCCCTCGCAGACCTAGTATATATAAATATATATAATAATATTATTCATAATATATATATAGATATATATATATATATATATATATATTGTGTGTGTGTGTGTGTGTATGTGTGTTCAAAGACAATGAGGATAGGGAATGCATCCTTGGACTCATAATCCATATATTGAAGTCATCAATTAGATAGATCCAATCAAATCACAGTGGATGGAAAAGAAGAATGCACAGTGGGAAGGATAAGAAAGGAGATATGTAGGAAGCCAAAGCAAGCAAGCATACATATTAAGGACAACTTACATAAAAAAGAGAAATTAGAGAACAATAGTGCGAGAAAGAGCTAGGAGCATCCCAAAACCCCGCCCCCCCCCCTTTGTTAAAGGGCCTTGCTAGTTATACATCATTATAATGCTTTTTACCTATGTTTGATACAATTATTAAATTATTAATGCAAGTTGAGCAAGAAATTCAAGGGCAGACCTCTACATATTAAGGCCTTCATGACTTGGCAACACATTCAATGATGATTTGTATTATCCGACTTAATTTGCCAACTGCATATTTAACTATGCGTGCCTTCAAGCTAAAATCACCACATGATAGCATTCATCTTATCAAATTAATACACAAGAATTTAAGAACATTCTTTTTATAAAATAGCTGAAGTCCAACTTGATAAAAGCATAAAACAAAGCTTGGCAAAATTTAGCATATGATGACAATTTTTTTTATTGATTTATTTAATGAAACAAGCTGTGTTAGATGATTGATTATCTTAATAATAGACTTTTCGGCTCCTAAAGTCTTATTCCTTTGCTCATTTAAGATTAAGCATCTTGTAGAACACCATAATAGTTTTATTTTCTTCATTATAGGCAACAAGGCTACACCAAGGTTCAAACATTAGGAGCGGCTAAAAATTTCCTCATTTTTCAAAAGAGAGAATGAAAGAGAAGTCATTTATCCTCATATGTTTTGACCTTAGTTGGTTAAAATTCCTTACCATTTGTGCAACTGGACCTATAAAAGTTCACAAGCGATCCAAAATTTTTATACAAGAAAAGGAACGTTTCAAACATAACAGACAGACATAAACTAATAATAGAGGGATGTCGTCTCTCACTTGATGCCAGTTGAACATTCTCGTCAGTTGTAGGGTCACCGCTTCCACCGCCCAACTCAAATAGCTCTATCCTTTTGTTTCCTAGGCTACTCATATACCTGAATTGTCAGAAAAAATAAAAAGCATTATTCATTATATGTAGCTCCAAAATCGAGTCAATAATTTGATAGTGCCCTCCCCCTAATCCTTCCTCCCAAAATTCATTATGTGGATTATATACAAACATCATTTAGAAACATTTTCTGATAAATAGTTTAATGAGTTGACAAATTCTACTCATACTTAATATTTTCTTGATCAATAACTATGATATAAATTTCAAAAGGCAGTTTCATTTAGTTTGAAAGGGATCATATAAAACCAATTACCGTGAGTAAGCACATCTTACTCCAGAGCAATTATTAATCTATCAACAAAGAAACATTAAATACCAACAAATTCTGACTTCGTCTGTTCAGCACTATGAACTCAACTATCATCACAAATTATTCTCCATCCATTTATTAATTACATCAAATAAAGATGAATAGTATAAAAAATTCTGAGTCAGAAAATGTGATTGGGTTACATGCTAAGGAAAGCATCAACTTTAATAGGCTACTGAGTATCAACTACAGTACACCGCCAAACTCAGCACAGGACAAAATTTGTTCTATGGTATTGCTAGAGCTGGCCCTGGAATTAAATTCATTAGGTGTAATTTTACCAACCATCCAAAATAGTTAAGCAAAAGAGCCAGAGAAATTTGAGCAGCTTCCTCAAACCAAAATCATGACATACAAAATTAAGGTCTTCCAATAAAAGGATTTTAGTTTCATTTTCAGCCTTTGGCAAAATTTAATTTTTCATATGGTTTAAATTGTTTCGCTAGTTTAGATGTTCAGTTTAAGTTATTTTTCTCTACTAAAATTACTTTTTTTTAATTACATTAAAAAAAATTAACAAAAACCAAAATAGAAATAATTTTCAAGATAGGAGGCTATTTTATGGGCCCATAAAATCTTGGTTATGAGTCGCAATAATTATTAAAATAAGGGGCATTACCACCATATGCCTATGTCTCAAAGCCAGCTTGGTAACCACAATCTTTTAATTGTGCTTGTATTTTGGAATAATTTCAAATAAAAAGACGTATAAAAAAATTATAAATTGAAATAATTTCAAATAATAATATATCATTAATTTCTTCCATCTTTTTATAGAAAAATCTGGATGACTAATACATATACTCATTTTAGTTTATGTCCTAAATTGTGAGCAAGTAATGTAGCATGCAGTTGAAATAATAATTATTTGTACAAAAAATTCTAATAATATTAGATAATATTAATTTTTTTAGTAATTTAATTGATTATATTAAATGGATGAACAAATTATCATATTTCTACAGAGAGTGGATCTAAGTAATATGTAGACAAAAATCTATAGAAGGTAATAGATATTTTCTTATGTTATGCATCATATGCCAATTACTAGATATATGACTAAGAATTGAAGCTAGAGAAATAAATTTCATACTTATATTTAGGATCTCACATGATGCATATAAGTTCATTTGGAATATTTTCTTTTTTCTTGCATTTTCCTTTTATGTATTTGGTACATTTTTTATGCTCTGGGCCAGTCACAATGAGGATAAACCTTTTGGCTTAACTATTTTGGCCCAGTCACAATGACTGGGCCAAATTAGAAGCCTCTAATACAACATTATGATGGCTACATTATCATTTGGGAGAAAATATAGCTCATAAGATCACATGATGCAAAGGGCAGCCGAAGAAGGAGACCAAGTCAAACCTTTTCGATATTTTGGGGAGCTAAGACAATCAGGAGAGAAATTAACCAAAAATTCTTATGGAGCAGCCTTGGAACATGCAAATGAAAGTCTAGAGAGCATCAACACCCTCCAAAATAATCACATCAAAATGCCCTTGATGTTAGTTGGCCAGCTCCTCCACTCTCTATAATTCACAAAGTTGTGTTCCATTTTAAGCCAATTATGTCCCCATAACTTATAACTTCACAATGAGGATAAACATATTATGAGGAACTTGATTGAAAGAGGATTATTCTAGAGTTTTGAAAAGAAATAAAATTCACCTTCCTTGGCTACTTGGTGGTCAACCTTCTTCCTCTTTTTGACAACTAAACCCTATTTAGAGTGCAGTTTATCATTTCAACACCTAAATCACTATCATTTTCCCTTTATCCACATCCTCACATAGTCCCTAACACTATCATTCAATCCTAAGATTCCGAGAAAAAGCTTTCATCAAGCAAAGCTCTTAACAATCTTTCATTTCCAAAATCATAATCTAAGAAATCATTGCCAAACTTGACATTATACCCATTAGTTATTTGCATCCAATTCTAAAGCTTATCTACACCTTCTAACCTAACCCTAAACTACTCACTCCAACCCTCAAACCATCTCTTTTGCCTTTTTCTTAATTCTCCATCAATGGAAGAGTTCTCAAATTTCTTTGGAATCCCAAGAATTCAAGCCACAAGGTACATACCTCTCTTTACCCCTTTAACATTGATCCTTCCTCATCACTATGGAAATCATTAGGGCTCAACCTCACACTCCGTTTGTCCGAGTGCTCGTGGGCAAGGAACCTTAACATACTTTCAACCCTTGCTCGACATGCTCTAGGGTATGTGCCACATATCGCATAAGGCTCCATCAACTTTCCCCTTGTGTCCCTGACCCTCTTAGTTGGCTCTTCATTTTTGGCCTCGATGTTTGGGGTGGAAACCTTCTAATTGCCTATTAACTTTTTCTCTTCCTCTAGCATACAACCTTGCACTTTTTACTTCCTCTAATTTCAAATAAATCCATTGGTTAGGATTCCATTCTTCTTTACCCAACTATTCTTCTGGTGATCTTGCATTGCGAGGTATCCACAATGATCTTGCACCAAGGACATCAATTGTTGTATAATATCCTTCCACTTGTGCTCCTCACTCTTTTGTTTAGGCTATTGGGGGGAAGAAAGATCATCCTACCTCCTCGAATCATTTTCTTCTATTTTCAATGAAGTTTAATACCAACTCATTATAAGCTTCCATCTAACTTCAATGATAAGCATACCTCTCATTTTCTCATGAGATCTCTAAGTTGGCATCCCTTTCTCTTTCACTCTTATTGACAAATTCCTTGTTTCATCCAAAAATTAAAATTGTTATTAAATTCATATATGATTTGACATTGATTGAAGATTTCCAACAAAACATATTAATTCTCATCATTTTCTTATCAAATTATCCGTAGAAGTAACTATTCAAGACAGTTCTCAAGGAGATCATATAATGTTGATGGTTTTCTGATACAGATGCTTAAGTTTTCACGACACTTTGATTATTCTGACTAACCACCTATTACTTCAGTTTGGGTTACTTTTATAAATCATTTCAAGTGGATAGTACTACTGCAAAGCTATCATGCCATCAGTGTCTAGGGTCCTAGAAGAAATTGATGTTATTATCCCTTTGGAAAAGGAGTTTTTGATATGTTCCATTGCTTAAGGATAATGGCATAAGGCAGAATATAAAGGTATTCCTTCACATTATTCTTGCAAAAATTTTAGTCCCAATGTCATAGGATGCTTTGGGGATCACCGAAATTATGAAAATATCCCAACAATCAAGATACTAGGGAGCATTCAATTGACAAAAAATCTTTTTCCAAATAGAATAGTTGTAATTCTTACTACTTCTGACATGATTTGCACAAAAAATTATGAATCAAGCTTAGATAATATCTTGAATTTAGAGTCTTTCCTTGGATGCTAACCCAATGGAGGTGATCGGCAACACATCTTCATACGAGATTATTAATCATCATATTATATTAACTCTTGATAATCATCATGTTGCTTGGGATATTGGTAATCTAGATTCTTAGCCTTATAACTCTGATGTTCGTATTTCTAATTTAAAAACTAGCAGATAGGTTTCCAATTTATTATGCCAGAAGAGGCAAAAATAAAAAGAAAATCTATTACGTTTACCAATCTTCAAGCAAGACATTTGAAATGAGGACTTGTGGGGTTATTCTCTTCTGGCAAATGAGCATTTACTTCGTTACCAAGTGATCCTTAAGCGTATTTTATTTTTATCATTCGCAGCTAGAAATTTTATGCAATCATTTAGTGTTGTACTCTTTTCATTAACTAAATATATAACTTTTTTCTTTTAAAAAAATCCACTTTGCTATCATCAACCTCACAAAAGAGCCTTGCAAGATTCCAATAACATCTAATTTGCTATTGATTAAATGAATTATGAAGTATGATTATTGGTGTACTACTCTAATAAAATATATAGAACCATTTTTGCAGGTGTTACTATTTGGTTAAGAAGCACCGCCCAATTTTCCATCAGCAAGTCATCTACTCCAGCCCAATAATCACAATCAAAACTTGGTGAAGCGTGGGGTGTAATTTTAATCATCCAAGTCACTTAAGTGGGCAAAGAGGATGGTGACAAGGGTCCACGTAAATGGGCAAAGAGATTTAGGTGCCTTTTCGGTTGAATGGTAGGTATTCCAAAGACACCCATGAGTTCCTCCTTGCATTGGACTTAATGAAAAGGGCAAATGGATAGTTTGAGGTTTAGAGTAAAAAATATAAGGTTATGATAGAAGGAACATATGAGACTTGGAGTTGGCACAAAGAAATAATAAGCATAAGATTAAGATGGCAATTATTGCTTGGATTAGTGTTCTAGAAGAAAATGTTAGCGAGAACTTTGGTAGAGGATAAAAGTTTTTGAATTAGACATTGAGGTTGAATAATGGTGCTAAGGGATGTGGATGTGAAGAAAAGAAGGCAACAATTTAGGCATTGGAATAATAAACTACGAGCTTAATGATAACAAGTTGTCATCTCTCACTAGAGAGGAAAAAGACTAACCACAAAGAATATGACTTAAGACTTAATTTCAAAAACTTAAAAATAATCCTCATTATATTAAAACACTATAATATATCTCTACTTATAATTTAAAAAAAAACTAAAATTACCCGTAGTGGATAGATGATACCTAAAAATGGGGTATAACTCGTAGAATCATGGAGAGTATAAGAAGAGCTGGCCATCTAATATAAAGAGAATCTTAAAGTGATAATTTTTTAGGTGTTGATGCTCCCTATAACTTCTTGAATGTTTCAAGACTGCTCCCCACAAACTTTTGGTTGATTCCTCTAGTGGTTGGCTTGACCCCACCAAAAATGCTATACATTTTTGTTTCCTCCATTCGTCATCCTAGTCATTGTTTGAACTCGTGAACTATAATTTCATCCAAATGTTGCTGCATCATCCAAATGCCATGCTACAGGCCTTCTTTCGGGCCAATCATCATTGACTCAATAAAAAATAGAAGGTACTAAAAATTTGTCATAGACCTAAACATAAATATGAAATTCATTTCTCAAGCTTCAATTCTTAATCATAGGCCTAACAATTGACTTATGATGCAATGTAACATTTTTGTTATATACAAATTGGTTAAACTAAAATTGTCCTATATAGGTAAAAGAATATTTGTGTCTTGGTAGACTGGTGCATGTAAAAACATATTCAAGCCCTTGGTTTGAATCCGTTTGGAATTGGCTATATAGTACAACAAGATTTTGCTAATAGATCCTTCAAAGTTGGGACAAGAAAAATAAGGATGAAGCGGAATAAGATAAAACATTGTTGGTAGATCCTAGGGAGTTGGGATGTGGAAAATAATGATAAAACATAATAATAAAATTGTCAAACACAAAATTTAGATAATAAAAGTAGGACCATTAAGGCATTAATAAAAAAATGCTAAAAGAGTAGATCCTGTCATGGGAAAATATGAAACTGATACTAACTAGTTTATTTTGGATCAGAATGGACTATAATATATCAGAAGCGACTGATTAGGATGGATCAATTTAGACAGTTTGAAAACTATGCTTCTGACACAAAGAAAGCTCATCATCATCATTTTGCCTATTTTGGGGTCACCTAAGTTTTACTAAATATTTGAAAGGAAAAGTTCTATTTTCCTTTAGTAATAGAGTTTATTCTTAAACATTTTAAAAAATTAAGGTTTTTTTAACTAATACAAGAAATAAATTTAAAAAATGAAATAACTAAAAATAGTGGAAGGGTTATGCAAGAAATTGATAATTAAACGTAATCATCAGTAGCTTAAGAAGCATTGCTCTTAACCTTTCAGAAAATTTGACATCTACACAAATGAGAAATGTTCAGTTTCATTGTATAGGATGGAAAAAAGGAACAATGCAACAAGCATCCTTCACTTACGTCTTCCTGAGGGCCACATATGAGTTTAGCTCCTTGATCTGCACAAAATGTTGTTAAAAATGACTACATGTACAAGAGAAAAATGCAAAAGCATATGGGTATGAATAAACAGCTGGCAAACCATGGATTGCTTCCTGTCATTGAGCTGCTTATTGACCTCAGGTGGATTACTACTCTCTGCTTCCTTAATTTCACGATCAAATTCCTTTATAAGGCTGTTAAAAAAGGCCACATTTTGTTTAGGACACAAAAAGGTACATTCATACCTAAAAAAACTGCATATCTTTAAAAAACTGCAAAACATGCTGTTATGTTTAGTCTAGTTTATCGGGATACATTATGGATAAGAACGGGCACCATGATTGTATTAGGAAAAACAAGATAATCCAATCATGCGAGCACATTGTAGAACAAAGCCTGATAACTACAAATCAAGAAAATGAGCTGGAAAAACCAGAATGCATACCGCTTGCACTCCCTCATTTTCCCGGTAAGCTCCTCCAACTGCTTGCTCTGTCTATTAGGCTCCTTGATCTTATCCACTTTCTGAAACCCATTGCTGTGAACAAGCACAAAGAGAACAAAAATCAACAATCCGACCAGACCATAAACTGATATAAATCTGTAATGCAGCTGCATTGATCTTTATGGTTTTGTTTGGGACAGTTTTCTTACTGCTTTCTAAAGCAGCTTTTTTGTACAAAAATTTTCGAACTAAAAATTTTTGTACTAGAAAACTGCTTTAGAAATCAATAAGAAAGTTGTTCCAAATGAAGCCTAAAACATGAAACACCAATAAAGTTTATTGAGGACATTCTGGTTGTTAACCATAAGGACAAGCACACAAAATTAGGACTAAATGGTCCATAGTGCAAGCAATTTAATGATTTATGAAGTGAACAAAACAACGTTCATTTTTTTAGCCTTTTTTTTTTCTCAACTCCGTTACAATAGAAGAAGTGGTGTTCTTACATCTTAAAAGAGGAATATGAAAATGCATGGAAGCTTTGACTGCTTATATAATCAAAGGCACTATGCTTAGAAGCCTATCAAGCATCCACACATGTGAAGTGGAACAAATAATAGCTTCAAGTAATGTCCAACCCAGAATCCATAGCATTAGAGATGTGACATGTAAATTTGGTCAAGGATACTCTTGTGGAATTCATAAAAGACACTCATGCACCGTGTAATATGTATTTCATATTGTTATAGCTCTAGTGGACAGCCATACATTAGATGCAAGCACTCAGAATTTTGCAAGCACTCCCAAGAAAGTTGTCTTCAACACTTGCAGCGTGCTCAAAGAATTAACATTCTATAACATGCATAAGTTAGTTATAAAATTTAAATTTTATTAAACCATAGTCTGAATTTTCCATGCCTAGAGAACCTTTATTTATAATCAAAACTGACTTATATTTGGTAGCTTCATAAAATCTGACAAAAAAACATACAAATAAAAGAGTGACTTTTTACCACAACAACATCATCAAGCCTTTATTCCACTACGTGGGTCGGCTACATGAATCTTTTTTCTCCATTTTGTCCAATTAAAAGCCATATTCTCGTTTAAATCTAATAAAGGAAGATCATTTCTAATATTTTCTAACCAACTCTTTTTAGGTCTGCCTCTACCTTTCTTAACATAAGTCAAATCTAATATATCTACTTTCCTAACCGAGTCATCGAAAGGCTGCCGTTTTATGTGACCAAACCATCTAAGGCGATTCTCTCTAATTTTATCTTCTACTGGAGCTACTCCAACCTTTTCACGTATATGCTCATTTCGTATCCTATCTCTAAGCTAAGGTTGACCTCCATAATTCAAGTTTACCTTCAACTCCATCTCTAGTCTTATCAACAAGAATAATATCATCAGCAAAAAGTATACACCAAGATACATCCTCTTGCAAATGTCTAGTGAGAACATCCATGACTAAAGCAAGATATGGGCTTAAAGCTGATCCTTGATGTAACCCAACCGAAATAAGGAAATACTTGGTCAAACTACCTTGCATTTGAACCTATGATGCACAAAAACGAACACGACGACACGGACACGTGACAAGTCAATTATTAAAAATACAGGACACAGACACGGGTTGGACACGGCATATAGTTTTTATATTTTAAAAAATATTGTATGAAAATTAAGTATAATTTTAAAAATAATTTAGAAAAAATAAGCCATTTAATTAGAATTTATGTTTAAAATGATTAATATTAGGATGTCGAGAGTCGGGTGTCATGTCGTTTATCAGTCATTAAGAGAGAAGATAAAAATACCTTCACTGCCAAAGAGAAATGAAAAAGAGAATATTCAATGAATGGGGTATTAAGTGCGAGTGATTGATTTGGTGTTATGGATAGAAAATAAGAAATTTAGTTTTTATATTTTAAATAAATAAAAATTTTAAATACAAGAAATTATATTTAAAAAAAATCGTAAAGTTTTTAAGATACGCGTGTCGGACATGCTTTTCCAATTTGTATATAATATTTTTTAGTCGGACACATTTTCGGCGTGTCCGACACGTGTCGAAAGAGTGTCGGACGCGTGACGTTTTGGGTACGTGTCGGACACTGCACGCCTCATTCAAGAGAAGTGTCGGTGCATCATAGGTTTGAACACAAGTAATAGCTCATGCATACATATCTTTAATGATTTGAATATAAGCGTTATTAACTCCTTTCTTTCCAAGAACTCTCCATAGCACTTCTCTTAGAACTTTATCATATGCTTTTTCAAAATCAATAAATATCATATATAGATCCTCCTTATTTTCTCTATATTTCTCCATCAAACCTCTTAATAAATGTATGGCTTACATAGTCGACCTACCCGGCATGAATCCAATTTGATTTTTAGAAACATTAGTATTACGCCGCAGCCTATGCTCCATAACTCGCTATAGTCAATCGTATTGTCACATTTTTCATGAAAAAGTTTAGCAAAATATCTCATCCATCTTTATTGAATATCATCTTCTAAGAAAAGTATATTTTGATTTTCATCCTTAATACACTTCACTTAAACTAAATCCTTACTACTCTTATCTCTTTGTTTGACTAACTTATACATATATTTTTCTCCCTCCTTAGTATTTAATCTATTATATAAATCACTAAAAGCTAAGATCTTTGCATCGCAAATTGCTTTCTTAGATTTCTTATGTGCCTCTTTATATCTTTCTCAATTATCAGAGTTTTTAAAAATTAAACTAATTTTTATAACAAATTTTTTTATTTTAATCTTATCTTGTACATTTGGATTCCACCACCAACTATTTTTACTATTAGGAGCTTTTTCTTTCAAAACTCCAAGCACATCTTTTACAATATTTTTAATATAACTAGCTACTTTTTCCAACATAACATTAGTATCCTCATGCACAAACAAAATCTTATGATCTAAAATCTTACTCTTAAAAATTTTTTTGTTGATATTCTTTAAATGCCCCCATCTAATTCTAGAATATCATTTCACTTTATTTTTTATTTTCTGTCTCTTTATTTTAAAGTCCAAAACTAATAATCGATGTTGAGTACATAAATTTTCACTCGGAATAACTTTACAAGCTTTGCAATCTAAATGATCTAACTTTCTTATAAGAAAATAGTCAATCTGAGTGTTACTATATCCATTTTTATAAGTGATGAGATGCTCATTCTTTTTCTTAAATAATGTATTAGCAATTAAAAAATCATAAGCTGAACAAAAATCTAATATGATCTTGCCACCTTCATTTGTCGTGACTTTTTACCCATTAAAAAAAACTCCCAGACCAAAACATCAGTTATTCAATATTTGCTATGACGCCAAGCTAAGGTAACAAAGAAACAGAAAATCGAGTACATCCATACTAGTAAAGCAGTAGAAGGAAATCAATCAAAAATCTGATTCCAGCTACACTTGGAAAGCCATGTAAGGAAACTAACATCTTATTAGATTCTAACTACAATAGGAAAGTCATGAAGAGATGTAAAAGATTGGATCCAATCACCCCTACAATGTCAAACAGGTGGAACCAACCTTAATTTTTAGGGGGTGCAATCTTAAAGGTAAAAGCGCAGAAAATTTTTTTCATATATATATCATTTTAGTGACTAGTGATTATTTGTACTTAAATATATAATACATTTTAAAAATATCATCAACATCTTGTATAATGACAATTATTCTTAAATCAAAATTAGATAACACCTTGTTAGGCCGGCACCTGAGCCGGCTGGACCGGTCCAACCTGGACCGATCCTGGTCTACACCAGGCGGAAGCTAGGCGAACAGGGAGGGGGGCGGAAAAGCTGAGGGGCCCACTTGGAGTCAATTTCCAATTGTGGGAGGGAAAATTTGAATTAAAAGGGGTATTTAGGTCTTTTGTAATACTCCTTTCATGTTTAATTAGGGAGATGAGGGGGGAATTAGGGTTATCTGGAATTTGAATCTTATTTGGAGATCTAGGTTTTGGTTCTACTTGCGCTCCAAAAGGGCAAGGCCCTATTCCCTAGAAGAGTGAAAGGAGAAGAGCGGGGTGACCAGATCTGCTGGAAGCTTCAAAAAATTGACTGAGGAGGAGATGCAGGAGAAGAGGGCCAAGGGCCTTTGTTTCAGATGTGAGGAGAAGTTTGTTCCAGGGCACAGGTGCAAGGATCGCGCCCTTTGGGCTCTCACCGCTCTATTATAGACGAGGCCGCCTGAAAGGGGTGATGATTCTGATGAGGAGCAGAGTGATCCCCAGTTGGAGGTAGCCGAGGTCTCCCTCAATTCTGTGATGGGATTTACTCCTAGCCATACGATGAAGGTGAAGGTGAAGATCCTTGGAAGGGAGGTGGTGGTTCTGATTGACAGTGGGGCAACCCACAATTTCATATCCACCAGGTGACGGAGGAGCTTGGGATGGAGTCTACTGAGACAGGAGTTATGGGGTGATGATGGGGCAGGGAAGATTGAGTCCAGCACCGGGATCTGCAAAGGGGTGGAGATGGAGCAACAGGAGATCAGGGTGTAGAGGACTTCCTACCCGTGAAGTTGGGTAGCACATATGTCATTTGGGCATGAAGTGGCTACAGACCTTAGTGAAACCAAAGGTGAACCGGGGACCATGGTGAATGGGCTGATTGTAGAGGGGAAGAGGGTGAAGCTGAAAGGGAACCAGGATGTCCAGACTGGAGTGTCACTCCGATCAATGGTGAAAATCATCCATGAGGAAGAGGAGGATTCCTTGTGGAGTTGGCAGAGCCTGGAGGAGCAGGAGGGGGGAGGAAAAGCCCATTCCCGCGTTGGTTCAGCCTCTTATGCAGGAATTTGAGGATGTGTTCCAACCTCCGGTGGGACTACCACTAGACAGAGAGCAGGAGCACCATATTATCTTGAAAGAGGGAGTATCCCCTATCAGTGTGAGGCCTTAAAGATACCCTCAGGTGCAGAAAGATGAGAATGAGAAGTTGGTGGAGAAATGCTAGAAGGAGGGATCATCCAGCCCAGTGTGAGTCCCTTCTCTAGTCCAGTTCTGCTTGTGAAAGAGAAGGATAGGAGTTGGAGGTTCGTGTGATTAT